TTTTGAGGAAGAATAAGAAAGAAACTGAAAGGAGAATGATAAAAGACAAGTGATACGCATCTTTCCTTAGAGGCCTGACATTAATGAGCCTGTAATAGGCTTATTACACTAAGTTATCTTTTGCTGAAATATGTAAAGTTAAGCAGTTATGCTAATAAGAAAAGGAGTAGCAGGACAGATTAAAAAGAGAAGAGTAAAAGTAAAATATGGAACTCTGCATTGCTAGTCAGTTTACATGCAGTTTGGCTATTAAAAAAGGTATAATTTAGGATTATAGGGCCTTGATATGTTTCAGCTGTCTAGTTTGAAAACAAAATTATCTCCTACAAGATGATGTATTTCTTCCACAAACATTACCCCCAAAAATACTGGTTATATATGAGCACACACATTTACATAAACTCATGTGCATGATTTACAATTTTTGTACTGAATATAAAAGGTTAATATGCCGTTTCTTTTTAAAACAGGTTGTCTGTTGATTACATGTTAATGTACTTGAGAAACTCTTATGCAGGACATTTGTTTTGGCTCTTGAGACAAGCACGATAGCATAAATCAAACCACTTCATTGATCTATATTATGGAATACATTTTACTAAATATTAAAGTACTCTTTAAAGGGCAGTGCAGATGGTTGGAGGAAAAGTGGTTTGCATTTTTTACAATATTTTTCAGTTTGGTTATTTTTGTGAAAATAATGGTCTGTCTTTATTCCTACATATTTGCTATCTGCAAAACAACATATCAACTTCATTAACTGAAGTTCAAACTCAAGTGTAGCAGTTTAGGATGTGGTTTGATTTGGTTGGGTTTCGTCTTTGAAGAGTTTCACCCAAAATGATTTGCAGAGTACTTAAATTCAGGAAAACATTTCGACAGGCCGCTCTTCCTGGGCCACTGGATGCCTTGCCAGAAATTGAGGACCCTCCCTGTAGGCAATGGAATCCTGGTCATGGTGTGCAATAACTGCCTCCTAGCATAACCCTCAGGACTACAAAGGCCACAGTTTGGGTGCATTGACCATGTTATAGGACTTCTATTTCTGTTCCATTAAATCACAGAGCAGCAGGGAATGGCACTGATCTCTGGGCATCTTCTAGTCCAGTCCCACTGCTCATATCAGAGTTAGTGAGAACAGGTTCTTCAGGGCTTCAAACAACAGGTTTCCAATATCTCCAGGGATAGACGCACCACAGGCTAAGCTCTCTCAGTAACCTGGTCCAGTGTTTGACCATTCTTACAGTTAAGTCACTTCTCATACTTAAATGGAATTCAGTTTGTGTCTAATGCTTCTTGTCCTGCTGCTGGGCACCACTGAGGAGAGTATGACACTGTTCCACACCCTCCCATCACATGTTTGTATTGGAGCACCTGCTTCTGCAACTTGAGCTGGCACCAATGTATGTAGAAGGAAGAATGATAACAATTTTATTGGTTCTTGATGCGGAGCTATACACTTTAACCTGGAAAATCTGTTGATTTGGGCAAAAAATCTCCAAGAAAGAGCAACTGGAAAAACCTAAGATATTTTTCATCATGGGAAGTTTGAGAGGAACATTCTTCATTTCATTTGGACCAAAATCAAATACCTGAAAAGAAAGAACTTAATACCTGCATATGGCTCATAATCCTACTGGTACTTTATGAGCCCTGCCCAAGACCAATCCCATTTATTTATTTTCCCACCTTTGATGCATAATTCTGCCTGTAACTTTATTAGAATAGTTAACTGTATAATTTAAGCACAGCTGAAAATTGTACAAGCATTTCAATAAAATGGTTTGTTTGGGGAAACTCATATTGGAAAAATGCACATTGAATGGAAAATATGGAATGAGATCTGTAAATGGAATAAGTATGAGAAATCTGAGCTGTTTTTATAACTGTTATTTAGTTCTGGGTTTTCCTTTTCTGATTAGCAGGATTGCAATTTCTACCATTTTGTTTCTAATACATTCATTCATTAATTTTGGCTTGTTGCTTAAGACCACAATAAGATTTATAGCTGTATTTGCAAAGCAGCTATGCTAATTCAAATCTCAGCCACATTTTGTATTTGAATGCTGATCAGCATGTTGTTATATTTTTATTTTACTGCTCTCCTCTAGATTTGATTTTATTGGATATCCCAAAACTATTGTGAACTCCGAGCATTTAGGAGGTTTGGATTTGGCACTGGAAGCATGTGTGTTTATAGAATAGAATTTATAATAGAATACATTTATTTACAAATTTAAATGAATATTTATCAGGGTTTGTTTTTTTCAAACTTGGAATATGCTCACTGGAATAACTTTGGGTCAGTATTAATAACTGTACCATATGTCTCTATATTTCTGAACCAGGTGGCTGGCAATCATGTCTCCAGATGAGCAGTGGTTCAGTGACAGCAACAAAAAACCCTCTTGTTCTGGGCACACATTGCCATGAACAATCCCTGCTTTCTACTTTAGTTTTTGTCTATTTCTGAGTGCTCTTTTAGTATCAAAAATTCTTTTCTTTGGTGATAATTCAGTATTGGATAACTAGAATTTCTTTCATATGTGATTGAAGGACAGATGTTGCTAAACAAAGAACACCTATATTAGCATTAGCTTCTCTGCAGTGTCGGTTAAGTTACCAGTACTGTACATCTCTTGCAAGAGTACTTGACCTAATAGGTGCTATATCATGTATTTTCTAAATTTATATGTTTCTCCATAGTCAGAATAAACCTATTTCTATAAACCCTTTTTCCTATCTATTTTGTAGAAAGAAAGATTTTTCATGTCAATTTATCAGTCTGTATTTCACATATATGATTTTTTTCATTCCAATTTATATTTTCTTTCCTTAGACTCATAGAAATTATTACAGCCAGTAGATAGAGTTGGTCTAATATTTTCAAAGACTTTTCTTCAATGTATTTTCTTACTTTATATGTACTAATACTTCCCTCACAATATTCCACTACAAAGAAAGTGGTAAGGCAGGTTTCAGTGATTTTTAGTTTGTTTGTTGGTTATAACTTTCAAGTTACTTCAAGATTTTACTGTGTGCCTTTTTTATTTTTGGAAATTTAATAAGTATTGTGTATAATGTGAATTTTTAAACGTATGTTTTCTTAAGTCTCTTAACAAAAAAAGCTTAAATCCTTTCACTGGAAGTTTCATGCTAAAATCAGCACACCGCTATAAGAAAGTATGTGCAGCTGTTTATATCCCTCAAAGCTTGAGAAGTTCAAGTGACAGAGACACTTTACTTAAGTTGGCGTGTTGCTATTTTTTGTATAGACGTACCTACAGAGAGAGATGTTTGAAGAATAAGGAGAGTTCTGGTTTTAATGCAGCTTCATCCTGAAAAAGATCATAGTTTTGTTTTGCTCAAAAATCTTGAACTTGAATATAATCTCTTGTTTCGGAGGGGAAATTTTTCGTTTATAGATAAACTTGAATTAGTACTGGTACAGGTAGAGGCTGTTTCTTTGGGAGACTCCCATACTGTTTTTGTTTTGAATTTGTCTTCACTTTGACCACTTCCCTTTTCTTTTCTGTGCTTTAACCAAAAAAACCACAAAACCCCAACATCATGATTGGCTTCCTAATAGTGTTTCTCATGTTACCTGGCGATCATTCTCTGTACCTGAGAAACTCTGAATTTATCAATTATCTCTTACTTGTCTTTTACAAGCTTTGAGACATTTTCCTTACAGGTTTCTCTTGTTATGCATAACAAAAATCTTAACTAGACTTTAAATACCAACCTAGAGCACTCTGTCACAGAGAATAGGATACATTGATTATAGTAATAAAACCTTCCATCAATTTTGTTGTATCACTTATCTATATTTTAGTTTCTGTTTATTTTAGATTTTTTTCATTGCTTGGATGGTGAATTTTCATCTCAAAAAAAGACATATCTAAGAGCAATATAAAGGGATATTTCCTCTAAAAATTATATTTATGAAAATAATTTTGTTATACATTTAGAAGAACACTTTTATAGCTAAATTAAAGTTTTCCAGCATAAAGAATTCCCAAGAGAAAAACTAAAACTAGTTGTATCCCATCACTGGGGGTAGCAGTCTGAAATACAATATTTTAGCTAATTTATTTTGCTGAATTTTCTCATAGAAAATAAATGCATTTCTGCCTGAATTGTACGCCATCTTATGGAATGAATTTTTTTGTGCATTGTGCCCCCCCCTTTCAATACACATAGTTTCCAAGCCCTGCAATTCAGAAAACATTTATTAAAGAGAAAATTATGGTATACTTGCACAACATATTTAACTTAAGCAATCTTGTTTTAGTGGACAGGCTACTACTGAGAGATGAGAAGCGCTTAAGGGCAGCTTAATTCATAACTTTCCGTGACTACTTTGTGACTCCACAATCCAAGTCCTTCCCTATAATACAGCAGAAGCATTTTTTGTCCACAAAACCCATCTCAAATGTCATTTCTATTTCTAAAAGCAAACTATAATTTGGCAATTTGCCAAGAAATAACCAGAAGGTTTTTGAAGGTCTCTTCCAACCCCAAACTATTCATATTCAGAATCTTAATTCTGTCATTCTAAATGGACTGTGTGCAAGTGTTTTTCTACTACACCACTGAAATACTTCATCACACAGATGAGAAACTGTTGTTCTTCTCTATTCTAGTTAGAAAAAAGGCTCATTCGAATTTTGCCTTGCACTTTTGCATATGGAAATGTCAGTGCTCCACTGGGTCTATGAGACTATGTGTATGAATTCTCCCAGAACAGTCACCACATGTAAGGAATGCAAATTCTGTGGTTCTGTCCCTAGAATATTCATTTATCTCTGGAAAGTTTTTATCCTCAAGAATTACACAATGTGTGGACCAACCCATGACAGGTAAGGGATGTTATCCTAAAAAAGTTTAGCTATTTTGTACACAATAGGATGATTTTGTAAAGTGAACCACTGTGTAAAAAAGAAAAACGAAGAAAAAATATTCTTAATTATTTACATGGATTTCTTTTTTCTCTACAGATTATTTTAAGTGAAGCAGCCATAGCTTGGATTTCATTGTGTGACCTTAAAACTTAGCGTCAGGCTCTTCAGATAGCTACTAGATCTGGCAAGGTTAAAAGGTAAGTGAAATATTTAATGCTAAATATATAATGTTAAAGTAAATCACTATGAGAAAACAGAAACCTCAGTATTTAGTAAACATTGTTATTAATATTATGCATTAACATAAATGACATCCATACTGTAAAGGGTTCTTTGCACTCTCAAAATTTATTGCTTTTTTAAAATTTCTCATGGTAGTTTCTAAGTTATAAGTTAAAATAAAACACCTACATGAAGGAAATAAGGAAGTGGAATTGCAATCATATTGTCTTCTATGTAACTTGGTATCATTAACACAAAATTTCAGGTTTCAAATCAAGATGTGACATGAGGGCGACTGAAATAGGGTATAAAAACTGTAGTGTACATATTAGACAAATGCAATTATCTGTTATGTTTTTGTTTGTTTGGGGATTTTAGTGTTTTTCTTTTTTCTTCTTCTAACACAGAAAACAAAAAAAACTGTCCAAGCGTAACTGAAGTAATCAAGTGGAATGGAAAGAGTTAATTAAGCACACAGGAAACAAAGCTGACTTGTCAAGTCTTGGTCATTTACGTGATGCTGAATGTCTTGTGAAATAAGATTCAGTAAAAGCAGTGTCATCAAGATTACCTATTTTGCTATTTTACTAGACAGAGTACAGAAAGCATATCTATTTAATCAGTCCTTTACATTAAACATAATATGTAAAATGCTCACTTAAAACATTAATTTAAATCAAGGGGAATTAAATGAGTGCTATATAAATCAGCATTTCTTTTATCTCTAAGAGAGACATTTTTCATCCCTTACATATTTGTGGGTCAGATATTGCCTCAAGGAGAAAGGAGGTTATGAATAATTTACGAATCACCATTTTTGCTTCTGATGAGAGCACTAAGACATGCTTTCAGGGCTAGTTACGTGCAACATATTCCAGGGAATATTGCTTATAAAAGAAGGCCTTTCTCTTGTATTTGGGAAGGACATGGATCTTTTAGAGAATGTGCAGAAGAGGGCCACAAAAATAATGCAGGTCAGGAACATCTGACCTGTGAAGACAGGCTGAGAGAGTTGCAGTTGTTCAGTCTGTAGAAGAAAAGACTTAAGGGGCATCTTACCACGGTCTTTTAATATATATAGAGGAACAGTTATAAGAAAGATGGAGAAAGGCTTTTAACCAGCTCTTGCACAGAAAGGACAAGAGGCAATGACTTTTCATTGAAAGAGTGTAGGTTTACATTGGACATACTGAAAAAATTTTTTATAATGAGGGTTGTGGGACACTGAAGCAGATTGCCCAGAGGAGTTGTAGATGCCCCATCCCTGGAAGTGGTCAAGGTCAAGATGGAGGAACTTCAAGCAATGTGATCTAGTGAAAGATGTCTCTGCCCATGGCAGGTAGGTTTGCTAGAAGGTCTCATAAGGTCCCTTCCAACAAAAAAAACACTCTATAATTCTATTGCGTGTCTGGAAAGAGAGTTTTTACTTGGAATTTTAGGGAATATAACCAAACAAGTTCTTGTCTGAACCTCATAAGCAGGGTAAAAATCATCATAATGACATACTAAACCTAGAGTAACAAAAGGACTAATTGTACGTTAATATTATTGTCAATAAATTGATAGTGGGGAAAAGTCTCTAGAGAAAAATACTTTTCCTACTGTATCAAACTATTAGGAAATTCTAACAACAGATCTAATACGATGATGCTAGTTTTCCCATCCAGACTACTGTAAATAAATTATTGCACTATACTTTTAAATCTTTTTTGAAGTACATGTTAAAAACTCCTGTCAGAACTGAGCCCAGAAGCTAATAAGACTTTTATGTCATTACATTTATGGTCCAGAAAAATAAAACAAGTTAATATGTGGAAAATAATTTGCTAGATTAAGAAAAGGTAAGGATAACTTAGGAACCAAGTGTACATTTAGGATTAATGGGTATCATCAATGATTCCACCTCTAATGCCTGTGGCCACCAATACAGGTAATTTTTCAATGAGGTGATGGCAACAAGTTTTTACTCTGTATTACTTCTCAAAAAAAACTTCATTTCTATTATTAGTAGCTCATTCTTCAGACAACATTGTTAGAAAATACCTTCTTAATATTGATGAAAGTTTTTTCTTCAATGCTTGAATTAAATATCACTATTAGCAATATGCTTTCATTTATTACACAGAATATTCCATTTTGTTTATTACTGCAAAGTACACAATTTGTTTAGTTCATTGAATTTCACTGACATTTGACTTACTACTTTTTATTAGTTAAAAAATTTATAATTCAATAGAGAAAACAATTTTCTTTAAATATTTGTCAGTATAAGACTATTTTAGCAATATCTGTTTGATGCTTATTTGTCAAGAACGTGAGATAAAATTATTCAGATGATGTATTTTGCAGTTCAGTCCTTGTACCTGACAAAACCAATTGCAATTTATGCTTTCTCTGGTCACAAGAAGAAACATGACAAGTCTTTACTCTCTATACCTTCAAACCACATAGTGTTCCTAATGTCTGACTACACATGGTCTGCTTTATCTGTCTGATGGTATTACATTGCAATGCATTTTGCAGAAAATAAAATGTTTCTAATGTAACCATAAATTCATCTTTTTTTGTTGAACTCAGAAGTCAAATCCTTAACAAGGGGGATTTGACATATGAAACCACTTCTTGTTTTCTATTTTGATTAGATCATATATATTTGCTAATAAAATCATTGACACCTACATGCATGTAATACTGTATACCTAAGAGAGGAAGATAGAGAATGTAAAAATGCGCAAGATATTTTCCTTGATGACTGTAAACTCTCTGATGTATTTGAGGAAGTGAAAATAGGGTTTCTTGATGTATTTCAGGAGTAAATCTTTTATATCTGATTAAAATGCAGGTGAGCATCACAAACTATTGTAATTTGTAAGGGTTGATCTCCTGATGCAATATTCTTCCATCTGCAAACAGGTATAGAGTTTGCAGAGAATTTGCTACAACTACTGAACGCAATTTAGGTGCAGATGCAATCCCCTACCTAAAACTCCCTATGCAAATGTAAACTCTTTTATACTACTTTTGACGATATCTGCTATTTAAAAAAAAATCTGCAACTTTATAATAAAATAATTGTTAGTGATGAGAAATTATGGAAGTGCTATGAAAAATTTGCATGAGAACACATGGAAATTCTGAGATCAGGATCTAATCTCATATTTCAAATCTTGAAGCATTAGTGATGCTAATTTGGTTATTTTTAGTTCTTAGGTTGTTTACTTACTATTCAAGGAGACAAACAAGCCAAAAGCCAATTTGATTGTCTTAAATACTTTTATTTCTGTGTTTTGCAGATTTGATTTTTATTAACTGTTTACTAGGGTTTTTTATTAAAGAATTGCATTGTAAGAATTATTTAGGGAAGGGAAATTACCCCAAAATCTCTTATCTCTAAACATGGTTCTTTGGCTGTAAGAACTCAGAGTAAGTTTTAGACATTTTATCACATACAAAACAACCAATAAATGTGAACTTTACCACACATTCACTTATAAATTAGTAGAAGGACACAAATTTCTTGGAGTAATGGTCACTAGATACAAGAGACTAGGAAGTGAAGAATTGTGTTCTTAAAATGTGTCAGTGAGAAAGGGAAATGTTACCAAAAGATACTTTTCTATTTAACAGATGTTGCATTAAGAGGTGTTGCATTATCACTTTAAAAAATATTTTAATTTTTTTAATTTTGTAGAAAGAATAACAAACCTGCCCTATCAGTAAAATATTGTACACAGCTTCTGCAAAACAAATAGTCTGCTTTGAAAGCTGGCAAGGAATGCAGGATCAGCAATGATTTGACATTGAGAAATTAAGCTGAGTTATATAGTGGCAGGAAAATGCATTCAATGAGCAGAGAAAAATATGTATAATACTTTTCTTGCAAAGAACAGTAATACTCTGTAAAACAGTTGCCTGTCTACAGGAGCTCTCTTTATAACTTTTTTTAAATTGAAAAAGTAATTGAATATTCAGTTCACTCTCAGTTGATTTTTTGATATGCTGTGTGTCATCATATGGCAAAGTAATTTTTTAAAAATGCTGTCTTTTAAAAATGCTATCTTTTAAAGTAAAAATGCTATCTTACATAAGTAAAAATCTGCAAGATTTTTTTTTCCTCTATGATACCTGGAGTTATATGGCCATGCTTATGTCCTGAGCAAGAACACTCCTTGCAAGAGGACTACACCCTTGAATGGCATATCTTGGTCTGCTGGAGTGAAGCGATAAGTAACATGGAACAAGTTGACAGTAGATAAAGACAGTAACAGAAGCATTCTTAAGGATGAAAGAAATAAATGACTAAGTGATCATAAAATTTGGAGTTAAGTGTGTATTTCTTAGTGGGTACATGTATTTTTATTACAGATAATAACAAAAAGCTAATGTCTCTCCAAGAGGAGACAACAGCATCTATGCAAAAGAGAAAACACACAAAGATCTAGAAAGTAGATTGTGATAATTCAGAAATGAAGGGAATAGCATAGATTTATTAATTTCTATGACTATGTAGAAAAAGCCTGACCTTCCTGACCTGTAACTATTACATATGAATGAGAATTGGCAGTGGTTGTACAATTAGGTTAATTGCTGATACTGTGATGGAAGTTGCAAAGAAAGGGTGAAATGTAATGGGTAAATTGCAACTGCATAATTTCTGATATATTGGAAAGGCTTTGACCTAAATCAGGCTAAGTTTACCAAACTCTGAATATGGTAGAACAAGTGCCAGCATACTTGTCTAATGGCAATTTTTTCAGCTTCCTAGTCTGAGCAAGAAATATTCTCTCTTCAGTTTGAATTTTCATAACTGTCATAAATTTGGTGTCCAGTTCTGGCTTTTAATATCTTTGTCACTTTTTAGTTTTATTATTCTGTGGGTCTTACTGTTGGCTTTGTGCTCTCAGATTCTGTAAAACAAACTGGAACTCTTGGGAGCTTTCTCTTTCCAAAACAATTCCAAAATTGTGTGGAACTG